AAACGTATCAATATGACTGATTTTTAAAACTGCATTATTTCCCTTTAAGATCGGGAATAAGGCAAGGATATCTGCTCTTACCTTTTCCATTCACCATTGCAGTGGAGGACCAAGCCAATGCAAAAACACTAAGAAAAAAAAATCAAAGGCATCCAGTACATAGTTGACCCTTGAACAGCACAAGCTTGACCTGCATGAATCTACTTATACGTGAATTTTCTTCCACATCTGCTACCCCTGAGAGAAACAGCCTCTCCTCTTCCTCCTCCTCTTCCACCTACTTCATGTGAAGACAAGGATAAAAACCGTCATGATGAAATGATGAATCTACTTCCATTTAATGAATAGTAAATATATTTTCTCTTTCCTATGATTTTCTCAATAACACATTCTGTTTTCTCTAACATATTTTCTTGTAAGAATGCAGTAAATAATACATAAAGATGAGTTAATCAACTATTTATGTTATTGGTAAGGTTTCCAGTCAACAGTAGGATATTAGTGGTTAAGTTTTGGAGAAGTCAAAAGTTCTACACATATTTTCAACTATGAAGTCAGTGCCCCTGATTCCCACATTGTTCAAAGGTCAGATGTATATTGAAAAAGTAAATTTTTTTCTTTTCTACAGAACGTAAAAATCTACTAGAACTACTGAGAGAATTCACCAAAGGCACAGATAACAAGATAAATACACAAAAGCCAATTGTATGTCTATAGACTAGCAATAGACAATCCAAAAAATAAAATTTAAAAAAAAATAGTATCAAAACAAATAGGAATAAACAAAAGATTTATATACTGAAATTACAAAATTACAACTAAAAACTCATACACTGAAAACTATAAATCATTACATGGAATTACACAGATGAACCTGACCACATTATGCTAAGCTTTAAAAAACTAAACACAAAAGACCACAGATTGTATGATTCCATTTATGTGTACTTTATAGAAAATGCCAATCTATAATGATAGACAGCAGATCAGTAGCTGCCTGGGACTGAGTACTGAGAATGGAAACCCACTACAAGTCATGAAGAAACCTTTAGGAATGATGGAAATGTTCTAAACCTGGATTGTGGTCACAGTTACATGACTCTACACATTAACTAAAATTCATTGAATTGTACGTTTATAATCATCGGATGTTTTGGTTTGTAAATTATGCAAATTACACCTCCACAAAATGGCTAAAAACTTATTGTAGCATTTCCACTTTTGTTAAGGGTATGATAGATTATTAGAGCTGCCATTTCCCCATGACAACTAGAAAAACTAGATAATACAAACAGAAGTTAAAAAAAAAACACAGGGAGGGGAGCACTACACACTGGGGTCAGTTGGGGGGAAATAGGGGAGGGACGGTGGGGGGTGGGAAGCTGGGGAGAGATAGCAAGGGGAGAAATGCCAGATGTAGGTGATGGGGAGGAAGGCAGCAAATCACACTGCCACGTGTGTTCCTATGCAACAATTTTGCATGTTCTTCACATGTACCCCAAAACCTAAAATGCAATAAAATAAATAAATGGGAAAAAAAAAAATACTTTAAGGAAATACAGAGCTAACAAAATACAGAATTAACAACTCATAATCATTGAGAAATGGAGGCCCAAGAGGGGTTAGATTTGGGGTTACCTTTTTCACCTGGTTATATATACCAATTCCAGTTAGGAAGGCTGAGAAATGCTTTTAATAGACTCACCAGAAATAAAGTATTGAAGATTGCTACTCAAGTTTCAACAAGGTGTGGTAGGAGAAATGGATCTCAAAGATAAAATATCAGAAAGTTTGCTTTTGAAATTAAGAATTCAGTCAAGAGAATAAATAAAAGAGGATTTGGAAGTGAAGTAACAAGTTGTGAATATTAAAGTACCAAAAAAAAAAATAAATAAAGTACAAATTAATACAATAAGAGAGTTTAGCATGGTTGCTGAATGTAAGAGCAGTATATTTAAAATGTATTTTTATATACCATCTACAAACATAATTAAAACCATTATAACAAACATAAAATAAAATTATATTTCAAAAGCCTAGTAACAAGCTGAACAAAAAACTGGAAGATCTCCACATCCAAGATTGTAATATATCATTGAGAAAAATATAAAAGAATATAAAGAGAGAAATATTTTATGTTCAGGAACTGGAAGCTTGATTTTGTAAAATACTGTATTTTCCCCAATATGATCTATTCAATACAATCACAATAAAAATTGCAACAGTATTTTTTTTTAGAAGTTGACAAGCTTATTGTATCAAAGTTCTATTGCCAAGAAACAGAGTATCATAATACCAGCAGCTTTAAAAAGCACACGTTTCTTATCTCACATTTTCTGTGGGTCAGGAGTCTAGGTGTGGCTTAGCTGGGTCTTTGCTCAGAGCCTCACAAGGTGGCAGGCACTCAAGATGTTGGTCAGGCTGCGTTCTCATCTGAAGATTGGGGTCCTCTTCCAAGCCCACGTGGTTGTTGATAGACTCTAGTCCCTTTGCGGTTGTAGGATTGAGACCTCAGTTCCTAGAGGCTACATCCAATTCCCTACCACATGGCCTTCTCCAGAGTCAGTTTACACCATGGCAGCTTGCTTCTTCAAAGCCAGTAGGACTGAATGATAACAAGAATGAGTTTATATATATGTATGTACATATGTGTGTGTATATATATGTACATATATATATGTATGCATTTGCTTTATGGGGAAAAAGTCATACTTGAGAGTTATAAGGAAATGGCAATGGGACAACTAGGTATCTATCAGGAAATAAAACTGACCCTACCTTACACAATACTCAAAAATCAACACCCAGGGGATTTTAGACCTGAATGTAAAAGACAAATTAATAAAGCCACTGAAAAGTAATACACGAGAGTATATTCACGACTTTAGCGTAGACTTTACTACATTAAAACTAAGAACTTCTGTTCATCAAGACACTCCAACGGAAGAGTGAAAAAGTCACAGATCACGGGAACGCATCTGTGACACGTGAAACTAACAGAGGCTTTCACCAAAACCGCAAAGCTATTGGAAGAAAGACAGGTAAGCCAGAACAGACAGATGGCAAAAAGACATGACCAGGCACTTACAAGCCAGGATCTCCAAATGGCAAATAAACAGACCAGAAGTGTCCCACCTCATTAGTCACCTAGGAATTCCTGGTTAAAGCCGCAATGAGATACCACAACCCACCCACCTGAATGGCTGGAATTTAAAAATAAAAACAAAATGAAAAGCTAACAGCACTACGTTTTGGCAAGGACGTGGAGCAACAGAAACAGTCAGACACTCCACGTGGGGTGTAAATTGTACAAGTACTTTGGAAAAACGTTTGTGAGTGTATGCCAAAGCTGAACTTATACATACTTTAACACAATTTTAGTTATATATGCAAAAGAACTACACGTGTATATGCACCAGGAGACACATACAAGAATATTCATGGCTGCCTTATCAATTGCCCCCAAAACTGGAAATGACCTAAATGTCCATCAACAGAATAATGGAAAAATACATTGTGCTACAGTCATAAGATGGAAGACTGCGGGAACGAACTTCAAGAATGACAAGGAATGAACCGCAGCTACAGGCAACATATAAGAACACACTGCATGTTCCCATCTACATAAAGTTCAGAAAATTAGTAAAACTATGTTATAGTATTTAGGGATGCGTGCTTACATGGTAAACTATAAAGCAAAGCAAGGAAGTGCATATCATAAAAGCTAGCATTCTGTTTGGGTTGGGTTTGGATTTTGCTGAGGACAAGCGAACAGTAATTGCTAAGTACAGGAGGTTTTGGATTGCTGGCTTGGAGATGACAGTTGCACGGGTGTTCAAGATTACTACTGAGCTGTATGCTTTTGTGCACTTTTCTCTATGTGGCATATTTCATGAAAAAGATTTTAAAACCATAAACTAAAAATCTATTGCAACATATATGATAAAAATTTTGTATCTTTAATATGTAATCAGCTTTTCCGAATCAAATGGGCAAACAAGTGTCAAATGGAAAAACAGAAAATTCAAAAACTACAAATACAAGTGTCCGATAAACACTTTTAAGTAGCCAATCTCAGAAATCGAAGAAAGGCAGTTTATACAATAGAAATGTATAACAAGGGAATTTCTATGCAACAGACAATGATTAGCCATGAAAAGTAATGTTATAAATAATATTGATGATATGAAATCACAGTCATGATATAGTAAGTGAATATTATGGGTTATCAAACTATTGAATATGAGGGAGAGAGACCCTTGCTTAGTATTTTTAAAATGCCCATGTTGTAAAACTTAATATAATTGTGATCTATTTTTTAAAATAAATCTATATGTAGATATATATTTATATATATGCATAGGAAAAAACAGGATGATGTTTTTGTTGTTGTTTTGAGACAGAGTCTTCCTCTCTCACCCAGGCTGGAATGCAATGGTATGATCTCTGCTTACTGCAACCTTTGCCTCCGAGGCTCAAGTGATTCTCATGCCTCAGCCTCTCAAGTAGCTGGGATTAAAACCACCTGCCACCACACCCAGCTAATTTTTGTAGGTTTAGTAAAAACAGGGTTTCACCACGTCTTTACTAAAAGACGAGGCTGGTCTCAAACTCCTGACCTCAGATGATCCACTTAGTCTCCCAAAGTGCCGGGATTATAGGCATGAGCCACCGTGTCCGGCCAGGATGATGTATTTCAAAAGGTTCCTTGACCATCTCTGAGTACTGAGGTTACAGATTATTTTAATTTTATAATTTTCTTTATGCATGTTCTAAATTTTTCTCAGTGAGCATTTATTGGTTATGAATGTGGAAAAAAGATTGTTCTTTTTTTGTGATAAGAATCCTAGAAAGTCATCAGCCCAGGGAAAGCTGTGGGGACATAAAAGTGGGAAAAGAGTGGGTATTTTCTCCTGTCCCCCCATCATCCACCACCCGTTTACCCTAAATGTCAGTAGGGATGATTTTTTAAAAATAAAGAAAATAGATCAAGACCTAACCTGTCTGGCAGCGGAGAGACGATTCTTCCTCCAAATCAGTGCTCAGGCAAATGGTAAATAGGAAAAATCTCAGATGGAGCCACTATCGAAGCCAATCTGGAGGAAGGTGAAGATTTTCAAATGCAAAAATGTTCATTTCCCTATGCAAAGGGCCAGGAAATTCGGCAGCTGAGCGTCAATAGCAAACATGGTGTGGAGGCACCTCATTTCAGAGAAATAAAATCTCCAGGAGGACGGATCCAAGATGGCTGATTAGGGCACCTCGGGATTGTAGCTCCCAGCGAAAGCACGGAGGGTGAGTGGACACCGCATTTCCAGATGGATTTTTATTGCCCACAGACCAGGAGACTCCCAGGCAGAGGAGCCCCATGGGTCGCCAGCACGGCTGTTTCACCCCCGCGGCTATTTCGGCCCCACGGCTATTTCGGCCCCGCGGGCCCCACGGCTATTTCGGCCCCGCGGCTATTTCGGCCCCGCGGCTATTTCGGCCCCACAACTGTTTGGGCCCAGCTCCACTGTTCGGCCGGGAGCGGCTGTTTGTTTGGGCCCAGCGCGGCTGTTTCGGCTGGCGCCCTGGTGCAGCAGTTCTCCAGACAAAATACACGGCCAGGTCCAGGCACCGTTTTAGCTGGCGATTGGAGCTTCGGGAAGACAGTCGCCCATTCAACTGATAAAATGGGGACCGAAACAGGGAGCCAGGCCAGGAGATTCCCAGGCAAAAAAGCGCCATGAATCTCAGCGCAGCTGTTTCGGCCGGCGCAGGCGCAGTGGGTCGCCGCAGGGGAAGTCACGCAGATCCCAGGCGACTGGAACACCTGGGAGAGAGTCGACCATTCAACTTAAAAAAAAAAAAAAGCTCTGAGGCAGGGAGCCAGGTGATCAGGCTTAGCTGGTCCCACCCCCACAAAAAAAAAAAAAAAAAAAAAAAAAGCAATTGGAAACGCCCTGGATTGAGAGTTTCACAGCAAGCACAGCTGAACTCAGGATGGTCTGGCTCTGCGGGGGAGGGGCATCCGCCATTACCGAGGCAGTCCACCACTACAGAGGCAGCCCACTGTTGCCGAGGCAGCCTGCCATTACAGAGTGAGTCTGCCACTACAGAGGTGGTCTGCCATTGCCAAGGCAGTTCTAACTACATCCGTATAAACAGGGACCACAGGGAAGTTCACATGGCAGCTGGGTGGAGCCCACAGCATCTCAGCAAAGCCTCTGCAGACAGTGATTAGGCTGCCTCCTTGCTGGCAGGGCAGCCCTGAAAAAAGCCAGCAGCACAACAGAAACTCATAAATAAAGCCCTAACTCCCTGGGACAGAGCACCTGGGAAAAAAAAGGGGGCTTTATGACTTTTGCTGCAGCAGACTTAAACATACCTGCCAAGCAGCTCTGAATGAACAACAGAGCTCACAGCTCAGCACTTGAGCTCCTATAAAGGACAGACTGTCTCCTCAAGCAGCTCCCTGACCCCCGTGTATCCAAAGAGTCACCTCATAAAGGAGAGCTCAGACTGGCATTTAGCAGGTATCCTCCTGGGACAAAGATAGCAGAAGAAGAAACTGGTAGCAACCCTTACTGTTCTGCAGCTGCTGCAGGTGATCCCCAGGCAAGCAGGGCCTGGAGCGGACCTCAGCAGTCCTACAGCAGAGGGGCCTGACTGGTAGAAGGAAAACTAAGAAACAGAAAGAAATAACTTCATCATCAACAAACTGGATGTCCACTCAGAGACCCAATCTGAAAGTCAACAACTACAAAGACGACAGGTGGATAAATCCACAAAGATGGGAAGAAACCAGCGCAAAAAGGATGAAAACACCCAAAACCAGAACGCCTCCCCTCCTACAAGGGATCACAACTCCTCACCAACAAGGGAACAAGGCTGGATGGAGAATGAATTTGATGAATTGACAGAATCAGGCTTCAGAAGGTGGGTAATAAGAAACTTCTGTGAGCTAAAAGAGCATGTTCTAACCCAATGCAAAGAAACTAAGAATCTTGAAAAAAGGTTTGACGAAATGCTAAAGAGAATAAACAACTTAGAGAGGAATATAAGTGAATTGATGGAGCTGAAAAACACAACACAAGAACTTCATGAGGCATACACAAATTTTAACAGCCAAATTGACCAAGCAGAAGAAAGGATATCAGAGGTCAAAGATCAACCAATGAAATATAACGAGAAGGCAAGATTAGAGAAAAACAGGTAAAAAGGAATGAACAAAGTCTCCAAGAAATATGGGACTATGTGAAAAGACCTATTCTACATTTGATAGGTGTACCTGAATATGATGGAGAGAATGAATCCAAGCTGGAAAATACTCTTCAGGATATTATCCAGGAAAACTTCCCCAACCTAGCAAGGCAGGCCAATATTCAAGTCCAGGAAATACAGAGAACACCACAAAGATATTCCTCAAGAAGAGCAACCCCAAGGCACGTAATCGTCAGATTCACGAGGGTTGAAATGAAGGAGAAAATACGAAGGGCAGCCAGAGAGAAAGGTTGGGTTACCCACAAAGGGAAGCCCATCAGACTCACAGCAGATCTCTCAGCAGAAACCCTACAAGCCAGAAGAGAGTGGAGGCCAATATTCAACATCCTTAAGAAAAGAACTTTCAACCCAGAATTTCATATCCAGCCAAACTAAGCTTCATAAGTGAAGGAAAAATAAAATCCTTTTTGAACAAGCAAGTACTCAGAGATTTCATCACCACCAGGCCTCCTTTACAAGAGCTCCTGAAAGGGGCACTAAACATATAAAGGAAAACCAGTACAGGCCACTCCAAAAACATACCAAATGGTAAAGAGCATCAACACAATGAAGAAACTGCATCAACTAATGGACAAAACAGCCGGCTAGCATCAAAATGGCAGGATCAAATTCACACATAACAATATTAACCCTAAATGTAAATGGACTAAATGCCCCAATCAAAAGACACAGACTGGCAAATTGGATAAAAAGCCAAAACCCATCAATGTGCTGTATCCAGGAAACCCATCTCACATGCAAGGATACACAAAGGCTCAAAGTAAAGGGATGGAGGAAGATTTACCAAGCAAATGAAGAGCAGAAAAAAGCAGGAGTTGCAATTCTTGTCTCTGATAAAATAGACTTTAAAACAACAAAGATCAAAAGAGACAAAGAAGGACACTACATAACAGTAAAAGGATCAATGCAACAAGAAGAGCTAACAATCCTAAATGTATACACACCCAATACAGGAGCACCCAGATACATAAGGCAAGTTCTTAGTGACTTACAAAGAGACTTAGACTTTCACACAATAATAGTGGGAGACTTTAACACCCCATTATTAATATTAGACAGATCAACCAGACAGAAAATTAACAAGGATATCCAGGACTTGAACTCAGACCTGGAAAAAGCAAACCTAATAGACATTTACAGAACTCTCCACCCCAAATCCACAGAATATGCATTCTTCACAGCACCACATCACACCTACTCTAAAATTGACTACATAATTGGAAGCAAGTCACTCCTCAGCAAATACAAAAGAACGGAAATCACAACAAACAGTCTCTCGGACCACAGTGCAATCAAGTTAGAACTCAGAATTCAGAAACTAACTCAGGACTGCACAGCTTCATGGAAACTGAACAACTTGCTCTTGAATGTTGACTGGATAAACAATGAAATGAAGGCAGAAATAAAAACGTTCTTCGAAACCAACGAAAATGAAGACACAACATACCAGAATCTCTGGGACACATTTAAAGCAGTGTCTAGAGGAAAATATATAGCAATGAGTGCCCACATGAGAAGGAGAGATCTACAATTGACACCCTATCATCAAAATTGAAAGAGCTAGAGGAGCAAGATCAAAAAAACCTAGCAGAAGACAGGAAATAACTAAGATCAAAGCAGAACTGAAGGAGACAGAGACACAAAAAAACCCTTCAAAAAATCAATAAATCCAGGAGCTGGTTTTTCGAAAAGATCAACAAAATAGATCACTAGCCAGGTTAATAAAAAAGAAAAGAGAGAATAATCAAATAGATGCAATAAAAAATGATAAAGGGGATATCGCCACAGATTCCACAGAAATTCAAACCATCATCAGAGATTATTACAAACATCTCTATGCACATAAACTAGTAAACCTGGAGGAAATTGATAAATTCCTGGACACTTGCATCCTCCCAAGCCTAAACCAGAAAGAAGCCGAAACCCTGAATAGACCAATAACAAGGTCTGAAGTTGAGGCAGCAATTAAGAGCCTACCACCCAAAAAAAGCCCAGGTCCAGATGGATTCACAGCCGAATTCTACCAGACATACAAAGAGGAGCTGGTACCATTTCTTATGAAACTATTCCAAACAATCCAAAAAGAGGGGATCCTTCCCAAATCATTTTATGAGACCAACATCATCCTGATACCAAAACCCAGCAGAGACTCAGCAAGAAAAGGAAACTTCAGGCCAATATCCATGATGAACATAGATGCAAAAATCTTCAATAAAATACTGGCAAACCGATTGCAACAGCACATCAAAAAGCTTATCCACCATCATCAAGTAGGCTTCATACTGGGGACGCAAGGCTGGTTCAACATAAGCAAGTCTATAAATGTAATTCACCACATAAACAGAACCAAAGACAAAAACCACATGATTATCACAATTGATGCAGAGAAGGCCTTTGACAAAATTCAACAGCCTTTTATGCTAAAAACCCTCAATAAACTAGGTATTGATGGAACTTATCTTAAAATAATAAAAGCTATTTATGACAAACCAATAGCCAATATCATACTGAATGGGCAAAAACTGGAAGCATTCCCTTTGAAATCTGGCACTAGACAGGGATGCCCTCTCTCACCACTCCTATTCAATATAGTATTGGAAGTTCTAGCCAGAACAAACAGGCAAGAAAAAGAAATAAAGCATATTCAATTAGGAAAGGAGGAAGTCAAATTGTTTCTATTTGCAGACAACATGATTGTATATCTAGAAGACCCCATCATCTCAGCCCAAAATCTCCTGAAACTAATAAGCAACTTCAGCAAAGTCTCAGGATGCAAAATCAATGTGCAAAAATCACAAGCATTCCTATACACCAATAACAGACTTAAAGAGAGCCACATCAAGAACGAACTGCCATTCACAATTGCTACAAAGAGAATAAAATACCTGGGAATACAACTAACAAAGGATGTAAAGGACCTCTTCAAAGAGAACTACAAACCACTGCTCAACGAAATAAG